CATAGCATCTGTTTCAGGAGTAGCTGCAAACCATGTGCCAACACTGGTGCAATAGAATGCTGGATCGGCAGTTCCTCTGCAGGGGGATAGGCCTTCTGCAGGTAGAGCTGTCCTTGCGTGTGTTTATTCACACACAGATGTCTAAAGAAGATTAGTCCCTTCATGCTTCTGAGCAGAAACACTTCTCCTTGGTGAGGAAAGGCCAGCATTCTGCTCTGCAGTCACTGAAGGAGATAAACTGCTCTCTGCAGAGGAGAGCTAGTGATGGCAGTGGTACAAGCCCACCTAGGAAAAGTATTACTTCTTTCCATCTTGCCCTGTTTGAGGATAGAGATGTTCAGACCAAGCAGTAGTAGATGAACAGTTTGTGTAGGAAAGAACAATGCATCTTTGAGACAATTATTTTTGAGAAGACAACATCTTTATCTTTGAATCCTGGGCCTGGGTTTTCCCTTGCCCTCAGAAGAAAACTTCTTTCCCTAGTTCTCACCCTTGGCCTGAGGAAGTGCTGCAACCCCAGTGGTGCCTCAGACCTGGGAAGGAGGATTCTACTTTCTCTGTTCCCATACATCCCCTCTAAGCCGCAATGGCTCATCCATTTTGCTGATCACTTTTTTCTCCCATGCTTTGCGTCAGTGCTGTTTGCTCCCTGAGACACACTTGCGTTGTTCAGGGCCTCCAGCAGCTTCAGGGCAGCAGCCTGCAGCTCTTCCTCCATCACTGCCTTTCCCATGCTCAGCAGCTGCTGCATTGTATGCAGCAAGCTCTGTACGTGCCTGTCCTGGAGCCTCAGGAAGAGATCCTCAATGTCCGTGGCAGGCAGCTGTCCCTGCTGCTGGCCGCTGACTGTCACCTCTGTGGGGTGTGAGGTGGAAGGCTGCATTTTCCCCAGCGGTGGCAAGCCATCAGGTGAGAAGCTGGAGACGTCAGCTCCTTCCATGTTAGGGCTGGAGCTGGATGGCTGGGTGGTTGCAGGAGAGGTGGGAAAAATAGGCTGGGGACTGAAGATAGCAGACAGTGCTGCATCGCTGCTCAGGGCCACGTTGTCAAAAGTTTGTGTGCTGCCCAGGTTGGGCTTGTGCTCTCCCGGGCATGCAGTCCGCTGTGGAGGAGAAAAATATTTCTCTAGAGGTGGTGGGCCTGAGGAACAGGTGCCTGGCCCCTGCCCTGCACTGTAACATTGGTACTCACAGCGCTGTCCCATTCTTCCCATTCCCTGCCAAGATGAGCTCCCTTAAGCACAGGGAGGGAAAGAATCCTTCTGCTGTCCTGATCATATCTCTCCGTAAGTCTCCTTTTGTGACTCCTAGTTATCTTCCCATGAAGCCTGCACAACTCACTATTTCTTCTGCAGTAGCTTTGTTATTTCACCTTGCTTGGGAATGAGAGCTGGTCATAAGGGCAGAGGTGGCTCTCAGAGGTTCATTTTTTTCAAGAATACCTTCCCCAGTGTCTCATTTTTGGCAGGTGGTTGCAGGCGCCACCTGTGTAGACTGGTCAGCTTGGTGTGGATGCCCCTGACAAGTGGGCTGCCCACAGCTCTCCTTTACCTTCCCTGACTATAGCCTCTTTTTCGCACTTCCTCATTTCACATTCATTGCATCAGTGCCTGGAGCACAATGCACCAGGTCATCAGGAAATAGTTAAATAACTCACCTTAATGAAATACCTTTTTGTAATGCAGCGATAAAAAGCAAATGCACAGAAGTTGGGGAAGAAGGAAGTTGCTGGCAGTTCTGAGCATATGGGTCCTAGAAAAAGGCAAATAAAACATGCACTTGGTGGTAAACTCCAGTACTGAGGTACAACCTGCAGCAATAATCTCAGTGTCAAAAGACATCTCTCCACTAGAAAACCTCGTGCTTGGGAGAAACTCCACTGCTTCCTGGTCGTCTCAGCCACTGAAGCCCTGAGAAGAGGCTGGTGCTAAGTACATGTGGCTGCCATCAGGTGTAAGACAAGGTGTTCAGAAATAGTTGCCTTCCTCTCACCTGGGACTACTGCCCGTCCTCTCTCTTAACAGTTCCCAAGTGTCAGTCCCCTCCCAGCCCAGAGTTTGCAGTGCTGGCACCTTCCCATGGCAATTGTGGTTGCCTTTACCTTCTGGGATGACTCCATGGTTTTCATACTCATCCAGTTTCCGGACTATGGGGTTCTGGCAGCCGTACAGAGCGCGAAGGTGGCAGGCGGTGCTGGCGCGTTGGGAGGTCTGAAGGGACCTGAAGAACTGGTGGTACTCATCATTGGAGAGTGGTGTGCCCAGTTGCTGTGCCTTTCCAACCCAAGGGCCAGCAGAGCGGCCCCAACCTGACAGCACTGGTGAGAAATGAAAGGCAGGGGTTAGGAGGAGGAAATGCTAACCATGGCACGCTCAGAAGAGCTGTCAGGGTGAACCCAGACCTCTGTTGCCTTGTCTGGATGCGAGGTCCAGAACAGTGCTGTGAGAGGGTAAAAACTGAGGTTGAGGCATGGAGGGGACCAGCTCTGCCCATACTAACAGGGATGTAGTATTCTGGTGACAGTATGTGGCTGAGGGGCCTTCACCAAAATCTCTGGAGATTGAAATCCTGAGCTGGGAGGAAGGTCTGGGAAGTCATGGCTGGTACTGAGAATGCAGCTTTGCTATCAGACTTGGAGCAGGGAGGTGGATTCCTTTCAAGACTTTTGTGTCTGCAAATTCTCTTTGTCTTTTAAGTGTGTGACCTCTTGAGTTAATGCAGTGTATCACAACAGGTATGGATATGCCCTTAAAATGGTCCAAGAATTCACTGAACCCATGTGCAAAACTTAAAGCCAATTCTTCCCTGCAAAGAACATTATGAAAGCTGGCGATATCAGACATTTGGAGGCTAGATGAGCCCAAATAAAAGTGCCATGTGCAATCTTAGTTTCATCTCCTTATGCATATGCTTTGTATCCATTATTTAAGTCCACAGCAAGCTACTCTTCATTCCTTAGGACTTCAGTGTCCCTTCATTGTGGAGACTTGACCTGTCCCACATGGGGAAGTAAAATTGTAAGATAGACTTGTGCTGCATTCAGGATATCTGCCTCATTTCCCACAGGGGTACGGAAGAAGGAAGCAGGAAGAAGCTGGAAGAGGAAGGGTAGTTTTGTGGGCGTTGTGCTAAGAAGTAGGTTTTATACCTGGCTACACCACAGAGGCTTCTGTGTGATGCTGGGCTAGTGCCAGGCTTCTCAGTGTGGTGTTGATGGAATTTTGCTTACCCTGTGTGTTGCCATTTATATGAAGGCTGAGGTCTCCTAGAGCTTTGGAGTCTGCATGTGCTGTATTTTGAATGCAAGTGCTACAGTAGCATCTACTCTGAGAAGACAGGGCTGAAACATCTCAAACTGAGATTCTGAAAGTAGTGGGTATTTTTAACTTTAATCCTTCTCTGCCCTCATTTTGCTATTTGCAAAATCACTACAAATGAATTAACAGCTGTGAAGCACTAGAATGTAGAGTGTATAGAAAGTTCACAAGGAAGAGAGTCATTTGAATGGGATCTGCACGTAAATCAAGCACAGAACAATAAGAATGACTGCTTACTGAACAGCTGCTCATTGCAAAGGCATTGTCCATCCCAGGACTAAAACAGCCAAAATCCATGTGAAAAGAAGATAAGCAAGAGCTGTGTTGCTGTGTGCACAGAGGGAACAAATCAGGTGTTGCAAAATGAATGCAATTTAGGGATGAGGTAAGCGTTCTTTTTGACATTGCCACCTCTGGAGTAGTCTGTTAATCTTTGTCTTCTTTTTTCTTGTAAAGGCAAACTTAAACATTTCTACATGGCTTCTATCTTGTTAGGATCTCTGCCTTCTTATTAACATCTGTGTGCCTGTAGATGCAGCGTGATCAAATAAAAGTGTGTAACTTCCCCCTTGAACTGACCATAGAGGTTATCGAGCCTTCTGTGAAACAGAACAGAATGAGACACAGCAAAGTGACTGTAGAAATCTAGTGGGGGAATGAGGAAACCAGGAAATACGGGACTCCCCCACATCCTCTCACTAGGATGTAGGCTGATAGGCCATGTCTTTCTTTCCATTTCTTCCAACTCTAAAACCTTCTGTTTGCCTTTAATCAAGGTCTTCTCTCACATCTCCCTCTGCCTCCCGTACCTCCTCATCTGGCCATTTCTTCCCTCTTGGCTGGTTGTTTGAGCCCAAGTCTCTGCTCTCATTTCTGATCTGTGTGCCAAGCTGTGTCACATCTCCAGACTCCACCCCTGCTCCAGCCTCTGCTCAGCTGTGTCCAGCTCCAAGTCCTTCCTCCCTCAGCTCAGTCCCTCCCTGTCTCTCCTTGATGAATAACATACCAGCTCCAGTGTATAAAGACTGGTAAAACTGTAAGCATCTGAGATCTGTGTATTGATGTTTTTTGGGGGTGCCCTTTTCTCTTCATCTCGCCTCCAGTGTGCCCACACTGGAGTACACCAGGGGTGAGGAGGCAAAGAGCAGCCAGGTGAGCCATCCTTCCTCACACCCTGACCTGAAGGAGAGACATTTTCTACTCACTGATCAGAACCAGGAGAGCCTGCATGACTGACATAGCACTGTCCTGCCTGAGCTGGGCTATCACCTGCCCGTGTCCTCCCTCCTGTACCGGGGCTGCTGGGACAGGCAGTGGGGAGCACAGCACGCTTCCCTTGTTTCTGGTGGTGATGTGTGGTGTCACAGACACCTTCGTTCTTTGCTCTGTTGTCCCTTGCTTCCGTTGTTCCCCACTTCCGTGCACCCAACAGCAGCTGTTTATTGGGTTTGTGGCAGATACATGTCCTCCCTATTACTGCTTAACAGAAGGTTGGCACAGTGGCTCCCTGTGCCAGCTGTGTCATGGGGCTGTTCCTTTGGGCCTCTGCCCGTCATGTCAGGAGCTCAGTGCAGCTCATCTCCTTCCTCCTTTGTCTCACTGATGTCTCATCAGCCACGATGTTGCCTAAGGACATGGCACTGTCCAGGCATGGCTGACCAGCACCTTGTCCCCACCTGGGTACTCGGTAGTGTTTCAGGCTTCCCACCTTTTTTATGACAGTCATCAAGCAGTAATGCTTTTCTGCCACATCCCCAGCTCTGCAAAAAATAATCTCTCTTCTGTATCTGCTTTTTTCTTCTGCAGGTGCTCACCATCTTGGGATGCATATCGACTGTCTGTTTGGAGCTCCTCTTGAATGATAGCAGAAAGGGACTGAAGCAGAAAGGTGGTTTTCCTCTCCTAAAACCATCAGGATGTCTCAGCAGGGTCAGGCCTACCTACTGCCTTGTATGTTGAACGGGGACACGTGGGGAGGGAGGGCTCAGCTTCCCTGCCGTGTTCCAGTGGCACGATGCGAAGTCATGTAACTGAAATGATGCAATGCCATTGCAGAGTTAGTTTTCACATGCACAGTTTTTAAGCATCTTCTTTCTCTAACCTGTACCTTTCTGGCTGTTCAGAATTCAGCATCTTAAAATGCCCCAGTGTGCTGCACAAATGCAACACAGAGCTAAATAGGTGACCTAATTTTCCATCCTACAAAACCCACTCGTACGCTGTACTTCTGCTCTGAAGAAGAAGTCCTTGTATGTTGGCACTCAAAACTGCCCAATCCAAATGATGTCAGTGCTCACACACACACGTGTGTAGCTGCATTTTTTAGCTCATCTCCAGCCCTGGGCTCTGTCAGGAATGAAGCAGCCACAGTGTCCTTATGCTGAACAGGATGGGAAATTCTGCCTTTGCTCTGCTATTGCTGCTGCTGATGTGTGAACAGATCAAAATCCCTCCCTCAGCCCTCCCTCAGCCTGGCTGAGTCACCGAGCAAATGCTCCTCCATGGAAGCAATGGAGAAGACTCTAGGCAGATGCAGAAAGCAACGCATGCGTGCGGGCAGCATTTTCCCTCTGCTTCAGCAGGACTGTACTGTGTTCATATTTAACACACCGGGAGGAAAGTTGACAGGGAGAAAATGGCTTCAGGCTTCTCTGTTTTCTGTACAGAACTCAGCAAGCTGACAGGCAGCTCTCAGTAGTATGTGCAGCCAACCCCGTCTTTGCTGTGTGAGTGGCCCTGGCTAGCAGACCCCACCAGCAGCGTCACAGTGTGTGGCAGAACATCAGTGACCCTGACTTGTGCTTCTGAGCATTATTTTATATCTGGCCTAGGATGCTTTCATTTCCTAAATCTCATTCTCAACACTGCTACTAGAACTGACGGTATTTGTTACATCTGTTTTCCCTCTCTGATCAGGAGCTGCTGTCCCTGACTTTTCTTTAACCTCGTGGGCAGAGTGAAGAGAAACAGCACTGTGTCCAGGAGGAACTGAACTCTGAAACAGTGGAGGTACTGCTCAAAAGGTGAGAAATTGAATAGCGCATGCCTGAAGGAGAAATACAAGAGTAAATGCTGAAAATCTGGTTTTGTTGTGCTGCATGCTTCACACTCATCCTACGTCTCAGCTTCTGTAGTAATAGACTTTGTTCTCAGGAATATTTCCAGGCAAGGTATGCAAAAGTGAAACATGGTCTTGGGGAATCCAGGACCCTTTGAAGAGAAGTCTGTGTGAAATTAAATCAAATACCGTGTTTTTTTCAGCAAAGATCTATACTTGGAATGTTAGGAGGCATAAATAATCACAATGTGGCTTTTTCTTCCTTTTACTCTGACGATATTTTAATGTGTTGTTGGTCAGTAAGCTGTCCTGAGGTCTGTGCTGGGGGGGCCAGTGCTATTATTTTATTTGTACTGTGAATGCTTTTCAGCCTTGAGTGTTATAAGCAGAACTTCGAGCATCAGTATAACCACTGTGGTGTTGTTTTCCCACATCAACAGATCAGCCAACTCAAAACCTGAGGGGCTTAGCCTGCAGCATTCTGCTCTGCTTCTGACCTCCCACACATAAGATGATATTGGCACTGTAAGCAGTGCCCTCCAGCTAATCTGCTAGCATTCATTTCCCAGTTGTGTTCTCTGCACTAATACAAAATCAGGAGCCTCAAAATGTTTCAGTCTAAGTGTAGCTTTCCATGCTTGATTAATAAAGTAGTTTATCATTCTGTTCAGTTGCCTATCTGTTCTGTAGACAAATTCTAGATACAATTTGCTGCAGAATATGTCTGGTTTTCTTTGTAAGGAAAAGGTTTATGACTGCAAAGAAGAAAAGTACTCTGCTTGGCAGGGGATGATGTTTCTGTGGTGCTGTCTGCTTCCTTCCTTGATTAAGCATGGGAATGCTGGAGAACAGCAGTGATTCACAGAGAACAGGAAGAGAAAAACGGAGAGGGTTATTCATTGCTAGCTCCTCTGTTCACTCCAGCAGGTGGCCAGACCATGGGTGACATACAGAAGGCTCAACCTCATCAGGAAAAGCCTGCGAGAGCTGACTTGCACCCGTTCATCTCCAGAAGGCCCACTACAGGTACTCTGCAGGACTCTGATGAAAGACCAGACTGCAAGCAGGAGCTGGAGATGGAAAATGAGGTGAAGCTGTCTTTTGTAAAGAGGCAGGGAAAGGGAGCTGTCATGGCAGTGTGGGATTGCGAAGGTGATGGCACTCCAATTGGCAAGGTGGTCCTTGCTGGGGACAGGCCAGACCCTCCAGTGTGTGGGAACAGCACCATTTGGATTCAGCAGGTGGGAGAGAAAACCTACGAGTGTCCCGAATGTGGGAAGAACTTCAGCCGGAGCTCGTATCTCAGCCAGCACCAGAGGATCCACCTGGCAGAGAAACCCTTCAGCTGCTCTGAATGTGGGAAGAGTTTCACCCGCAACTCAGACCTGATCAAACACCAGCGGATCCACACAGGAGAGAAGCCCTACCAGTGCAACGAGTGTGAGAAGACCTTCAGCCAGAGGTCCAACGTGATCAGGCACCAGCGGACCCACACGGGAGAGAGGCACTACCAGTGCAATGAGTGTGGGAAGAGCTTCAGCCAGAACTCGCATCTCATCGTCCATCAGAGAAGCCACAAAGGAGAGAAACCATTTCATTGCCCCCGGTGTGAGAAAAGCTTCAGCGACCGCTCCTCCCTTATCATACACCGGAGGGTCCACACTGGAGAGAAGCCCCACAAGTGCCAGGTATGCGGGAAACATTTTCGAGACAGCTCAGCCATCATTCGGCATCACAGGATCCACACAGGAGAGAAACCCTACAAGTGCACCGAATGTGGGAAAACCTTCCGCCAGAGCTCCTCGCTGGTGACCCACATGCGGACGCATACAGGCGAGAGACCCTACAAATGCCCTGTGTGTGGGAAAAGCTTTAGCCAGAGCTCAGCACTCACCACGCATCGCCGCATCCACGGGGGAGAGGTGTTGCCCCTGTACCATGGCAGCCTCTTGGCCAGCCCCTACCAATGCGCTGAGTGCGGCAGGCGGTGCAGCGACCAACCCACTCTCATCAAGCACCAGACCACGCATGTGGAGGAGCGGCCCTACATCTGCGTGGAGTGTGGGGACAGCTTCCGTCGGAGCTCAGCACTCAATGTCCACTTGAGGATCCACCGTGGGGAGAGACCCTACAAGTGTGAGGAATGTGGGAAAACCTTCCGGCATAGCTCAGCTTTGGGTGCACACTTGAGGATTCATGCGGGATCCAAGCCCTATGAGTGCGCTGAATGTGGGAAAAGCTTCCGGAAAAGCTCGACGCTTAAAGTGCATTTGAAAATCCATGTGGTCAAGAAGCCTTATAAATGTACCGTGGGTAGGAGGACTCTCTCTTCCTGTTCTCTTCTCCCATAGGGTTGGTTGGAGCAGAAAATGAGCAGAATTTGGTTGTATCTGAAGGCGTGTGAAAAACATAGGTACTGAGAATTACAGTGGCAAAAGGCTAAGGAGACACCGTAGCAGCTGTAGTGTCAGGGCTGGGTGCTTAACCCCAGTGGTATGTTAAATTATGAGGTCAGGGAGCTCATCCTAGGAACTGCGTACTGGCAGTTAAAAAGAGTACTGAGAGCTGAGGGGAGACCAAGTTCTGTGTAATTTGGAGACTGTGAGTATGTGGTAGAATACAAGCAGAAGAATTGGGCTTTTAAAATAACTTTTCAACAAAGTGGAAGATCAAATTTAAAAGGTCCAAGTTGGCTCTCATTCAGAACTCCAGCTCGTTAGGCACTGCAGTAGACTTAGAAACTCATATTTTCCATTAAATATGGTGAGTTGACCCCGTATTTGAGCAGGCACTTCCAATTCCTTGAGTCCAAAACTGAGGAGCTGAACCTCAACACGTTCTGTTTTTCAATCCTCTGTTCCAAATCCTACATGGGACGATGAATTCCTACCTCCATACACAACATCTGGGTGACAAAATGGCCCAGTAAAGCGAAACTGACAGAGCTGTTCCCAGGCTTGGACGTGCAAGCATAGCCAGTTGGAACACTGCCCATCACCGGTGTTGGGCAGCTTTGTCCTCCTTGTTTTTTAACACCTTCCTGTTAGGGACATCAACAAAACGTGGGCAAAACAGTGGCCTTACATTGTTTAACCAAAAAAAAACAACAAGAAAAGGGTTCCCCCTAGATGTGTGTGTGTTATACTTAGCACGTATGATAGGTTCCTACTGGTAGGCAGGAGACTGTTTGCAATTTTGTAGTCCTTTAGGTGAGAAAACTCTTCTTCAGCTCCCTGCTGTTTGTGCTTTAGTAATGTGTAAAGCTCGGTGTTAAGTTAGGAATTCGAGCTTTAGGTTAGGAATTCCTATATTACACGTAGTGCTGTGGCAATGGCTGCATTACAGAAACCTCCTCTGTATTGCTGTGTTTTGTTACGAGGGATGTGTTTCCATCCTAAATAAACTTTTCTTTTCTTTTCTTTTTTTTTTTTTTCCCTCTGTGTGATGCTGTTTTGTGTCACTGTATGCATTCATGGGAAAGGAGAAGAGAAAGCTCCGGGGAGACTTCATTGCGGCTTTCCAGTTCTTGTGGGGAGCTTACTAGTAGGAGGGGGCCGACTTTATACACAGCCCGGCGGTGATAGGACGAGGGGGGCTGGCTTCAAACCAACAGAGGGGAGGTTGAAGTTAGATGTTAGGGGAAATCCTCCATTCAGAATCAGCCCAGCCGCCGGGTCCGCCTCGCCGGGCACCTTCCGCCTCTCTCGGCCGTCCCCTCGCGTCACGGGAAGCGGGCGGAGCTCTAGCGGCGCTCGTTTCGAAGCGGGGAGGCCGGAATGGATGGCGGGACGGCGGAGGTGGGCGGCGGGCTGGCGGCTGGCAGGGAGCGGGCCATGGGAGGGAGCGGGCGGGTGTTGTCCGATGCCCGCTCACGGCTGTCTGTGTGCCCGCAGGCGGTGAGCGGCCCGGGTCGGGCCAGCTTCCCGTTCCCCTACACGCCGTACCGCATCCAGGAGCAGTTCATGGCAGCGCTGTACGCTGCGCTGGAGGCCGGGCGGGTCGGGATCTTCGAGAGCCCCACGGGCACGGTGAGCAGCGGGGGTGAGAGGGGGATAGTGACAGTGCGACAGGGCTGCTTGCAGCGTGGTGCTCGGAGTGGTGCTTGTGGAGGGGGAGCAGGGCAGGCCGGGCTCATTCCCTGCACAAGCACAGAATCTGGGGTCCTGGTACAAGGTGTGTTACCCACTTCTGTGGTGCCAGTTTTGGAACTGTGGGGACAAAACACAGAAAGAGGTGTCGCTTGCAGGGTCATAAAGTGTGACATCGGTATCTCTGTGCGTGGCCTTGGCCTGGTCCCACTCAGCTGGAACCAACTCCAGGTGCCTCTCCTGTGTGGAGGAGCCGGTTACAGCAGTGACACCGTGTGCGGCTTGTGCTCTTTGTTTCCAATACCAGGGAAAGTCACTGAGCCTCATCTGCGGGGCCCTCTCCTGGCTCCAAGACTTTGAGGAGAAGAAGCAGCAGGAGGAGGCACGGCTTCTGGCTCCAGAGGGCAGTGGGCAAGAAGAGAAGCAGCCCCTGGTTTCTGGTGGTCTGGCGTGTCCAAACAGCAGGGATGCATCTGGGGAACCAGATTGGATCACAGCATTTGTGCAGAAGAAAGAAGAGCAGGATTTGGTGCACAGACTGAAGGTTGAGAAATGCTCACGTAGAGAAGGGGGGAAGTAGCAAGGCGTGAGGAGCAGGATGGGTGACGTCATGGGTGGTGACTTGGTGGTCTGTGTCACTTAAAAGGGATGAGGCATTCCTGTGTAAGTTGCGTGAAGTATAGGATAGTTGCTGTCAACATAGCAACATTCACAGGCCTGTAAGGACAAAGGGACTGCTGACAGTTTTGTTTCAGAGTTGGATTATTTTTATTTTATTTTATTTTTTATTCCTGGGTGAAAAGCAAAGTAATTATGCCTGTTCTATAGGACTAGGCAGACTTCATCCTTCCATCATTCTCCCTTCATTTCAGGAAGAGCAGATCAGGAGGAAAAAGCGAGAAGAACGTCTGGAGAAAATCCGCCATAATGTACAGTTAAAATATGCAGCGAAGAGGAAGGTGAGTTGGCCTGCAGAGATTAGAATCATGGTATCATAGAATCGTACAATGGCTTGGGTTGCAAGGGATCTCAAACACCGTTTAGTTCCAACCCCTTGCCATGGGGTTGACTGCCATCCCAGGGCAAGGCACCCATCCACCCTGATCCTGAACACCTTCAGAGATAAGGCGCCCACATCTTCTTTGGGCAGTTCATGGCAGTGCCTCATTGCCCTCTCCATGTAGAACTTCCCCCTGATGTCTAATCTAACTCTCCTCTCCTTTAGTTTAAAACCATTTTCATTTGTCTTAATAATCTGGAGTGTTGATAATACTTGCTTGTACATGTGACTTGTCTCTATATTGTCCAGCCCCTGTATTTAGGGAGCTCTTAGTACTGGATTGCCGAATTGACTCTCTGAAATTTTTGATTAGGTTATCTTTTCAACGTACAAATGTAAAAAGCAACTTGTGCTTAGAGAATTTCCTGTGGCAGCATGTGTGTGTGGATTAAAAGGATGTCTGTTCTGATGGCTTATTTGCTTTTAAGTGCTGATGTTTGGGGTTTTTGGAAAGCTCTTTCTTACATAAGCACGTGTGGACGTGGTACTTCTGGAATAAAACCTGTAGAACTGTGATTATTTTTAAGACTGCAGGAACTGAAGACCCAAAAAAAAAACAAGCGAGGTCAGGCTTTGGTTGTACTCCCCACTGTGTGTGATTACCTTCATAGATACTATCTCCCACAGTATTCTCCTGGGGAAGCTGACAGCCCGTGGCTTGGACAGGTACACTGTTTGCTGGGTAAAGAACTGGCTGGAGGGCCAGGCCCAGAGAGTGGTGGTGAATGGAGCTAAATCTAGCTGGAAGCCAGTCATGAGTGGTGTTCCCCAGGGATCAGTACTGTCCTTATTGATGATCTGAATGATAGGATTGAGTGTACCCTCAGTAAGTTTGCATATGACACCAAGTTGGGAGAGAGTGTTGGATGTGCCTGAGAGTAGGAAGGCTCTACAAAGGGATCTGGACAGGCTGGATCACTGGGCTGTGGCCAATTGCATGACCATCAATCAGGCCAAGTTGCGGGTCTTGCACTTTAGTCACAACAACTCCATGTAATGCTACAGGCTTGGGGCACAGTGGCTAGAAAGCTGCGTGGAGGAAAAGGATCTGGAGGTGTAAGTTGACCCTGAGCTGAGCATAAGCCAGCAGTATGCCCAGGTGACCAAGAAGGCCAACAGCATCCTAGCTTGGATGAGAAAATAGTGCAGTCAGCAGGAGCAGGGAGGTGACTGTCCCTCTGCACTCAGCTCTGGTGAGGCAGCACCTTGTGTGCTGTGTTCAGTTTTGGGCCCCTTGCTACAATAAAGGCATTGAAGTGCAGGAGTGTGTCTGAAGAAGGTGAAAGGTCTGGAGCAGAGGGAACTGCGATTGTTCAGTCTGGAGAAGAAGAGGCTCAGGGGAGACCTTACCACTCCCTATGACCTGAAAGGAGGCTGTGGTGTGTTGGGGGCTGGCTTCTTCTTCCAGGTAACAGTGATAGGTTGAGAGGGAATGGCCTCAAGTTGCACCAGGGGAGGCTGAGGTTGGGTATTAGGAAACATTTCTTCTCAGACAGAGTGGTGCTGCACTGGCACAGGCTGCCCAGGCAGGTGGTTGAGTCGCTGTTCCTGGAGGTGTTCAAGAACTGTGTGGATGTGGCACTGGGCATGGTGCTGTTGGGTTGGAGTTGGACTGGACGATCTTAGAAATCTTTTCCAACCTTAATGATTCTGTAATTCTTTGTAAATATAATTGTATTGTTCGGAAGCATCTCTTTTCTACACACAGAAAGTTGACATGTATTTTTCTGCCATTTAGTTGAGTGATCTGGCTCCAATAACCTTAACTTGAAGAGCTTTTTGATGGTATGATTTAATCTTAGAAATACCCACTTCAAGTTCCTAAACAGGCACTTATAAGGCAGCCAGGCTGTTTGTGTACTCCATCTCAAGTGCTGTGTCAACTCCTGACAAAAGGACGTAGCATAAATATCAAAGGTTCAGAGGTGAATGGTGAATCAAAACCAAGTAGAACAAAGAACTTCTTTCTCTTAAAGGAGAATGAAAAGCATGGGAAATGAGATTTGTGATAAAAAGCACAAAGGCAAATTTCAGAAACCCTGTATAGATTTGGAAAAGCAGGTATTTCAGCTACCCCTGTAAACTGCCTTTCTTCATCATGCCACGGTGATGGAATGCTCATTAAAGTTAGAACATACTGTCTTCAGACTGAAGAAGGTATGTTCTTTGTCAGAACAGAAAATTAATAAAAAACTGTTCTTCAACAATTTAATAGAATTTGTGCAGAGGGATAGACCTGTGTTAGAATAAGGACCACGTGATGGGGGAAAAAACAAGAACAAGAGAAAATTTGTGCTCTAAAACAGGTATTGAGTTTATTGTAGCCTTAGGTTAGCTGTGAATTATTTGATTACATCCTTATGTGTTTGCTTGGTTGTTGGTTTTTTTATTTACAGTTTTTTTCTGAGGCAGTCATTTTTATTGGCTAACTTAAGCAACTAATCCTGGATTGTAGGCATATGGTCACTTCAGGTGTTAGGTGTTTAGAGGGTCCTTTGCACAGAAGGCTTTTATGTGGGCAAGTCTTTGGTTGCTGCTGTCACCTGCACTGTGTGGCACTGAACTGCTTCAAGTAGTTGTGGTGTGTCTGCTTGTCCTGCTGGGGATACACACAGCAATCCCTCCTCTGTGCCACGGGGAAGAGACTGAGCTGTCCTCTGAACTGCAGGTGGCATAAAGTGATGCAAGTGCTGCTTCCCTGGGTGAGAAATAATGAGATGGTGTGCTCCTTTCAGAGATCTGAAGAGGATGAGATGAAGCGCCTTCTTCAGCTCAGCAAAGAGATTCTGTCAGAGGGAGCTGGAGCAGCTGTCCCAGAGCAGCTGGATCACAATGAGGAGGAGCTGATCCTTGCTGAATATGAGAGTGACGAAGAAAAGAAAGTGGGATCTGGGTAAGGACAGGGGCTGAGGGGGTTCTAATGTTTCATGATCATTTTTGGCTTGCCTTAATTGAAGGGATTTCAGCTGTTCAGCAGCGACTGCTTTCTTGAGCATCTTACGCTGTTGGATATATAGGTGGCTCTGTCTTGTGCACATCTGGAGTTTCTTCCCCCATTGAAGCTGTGGTACTGATTGGTTGGTAGGTTGTTTTTTCGTTAGGATTCTCTTTTTTTTTTTTTTTTTGGTTGTTGCTGCTTTTTTTCCACTCGCGGTCATCAGCCTCAAGTGTCTT